GCCCGCCTGGCCCGGCCCGGCCCGGCTACGCCAGGGCCGCAGCACAGTGTGAAGGTCACCGTCGCTCACACAATTTTTTCCACAAGAGTCGCTTCCTGAAGCGTTTACCGCTGTCGCTTTGTGCCGCTCTCGGTAGAGCAGGCAGGAACGCGTACAACCGAACGGGCCACATCTCGCGGAAACGCTGTGCCCCACGGGGCCGGACACGAAGCACAGCGCGAGGCGGTGGCGCACCGGATTTGGGGTATGGGTTTGTGAGCCCGTACGGTCCGACCAAGCCAACTGGGGGGCTCATCTGGTGGTAACTGTCGGAGGCCAGCGTCGGACGGAGGCACCGCTTCCCACCCCGGGCCCTGGGTGGCAGCAGCAGCCGTTAGGAGGAGGGGAGCGGATTTGGGGCGCTGTCTGGGGGCCAGCAGGTTTTGCTCTGTGCTCGCCACCCTCAGGGTAATGCTGATCGAAGGCATCTCCTTGTTTCCAGGTTCTGTTCCCACCTGCTCCTCCTCACCATTGCGGTGCCAAGCGTCACATTGCCGGGCTTTACCGTCGGTCACTGAAGTGATCCGAGACAATGAAATGCCAAAGAACTTCACGGTGGTTTCCTAGAGGGACGACGGGGAAGCGTGGTCCCGGCTTCTTGTTTGGGCGCTCAAGGTTAGACGCTGTGAAAAGCCCTTCTGCAGGCTGCCCGAGTAGGCACTCATGGCAGGGCCTCTGCCCCTACAAACACAGGCCTGGTCTCCGTCAGTCATCTCTGCTAATTTTATTGTACGCCGAAAGTGAAATTTTACACCTAATGGCCAAACTTCTGTCTGAAATTAGACCTTTCTAAAAGTCTTGAAATTGTTCTAGCTGGAGGGCATTACTTTATGCGCACCTTTTGTAATTGCTTTCACTTTTAATGGATGTTTCCTACAAAAGTAAACACAGCCAAACTTTTTTTTTTTTAAATAGATGACTGGTGAACCACAAAGTGCAGTAGCTGAGGTGTCTGAAACCACTGCTTACACATGTATCTACTTTGCAGGATTTCAAAATGAGAGCCTCCCTCTCTCCGGGGGCGTGTTGTGAGCGCAGGATGTGCCAGGCATAGCCTTTCTCTCTGCTGTAGTATGACAGACCATGTACTATACGTCACTATACCTTTTTTTTTTGCATATCAAAAGATAGGCAGTAAATTGTGTGCTATTTTATATTTGTAATACAGATACAGTGAAGTGACTCCTGTGCCCACACAGGGTTAGGCACATACAGCATTACAGGACCGTATTTTGGATGTAATCAATGAAAGGCTGTGGTGCATATTCTCAGGCAGGCACACACAGCCTAGCGTGGCATCTTTCTTTTAAAAAAGCTCGTAACTGAATGTTCATACTCTCATAGCACAACACAATGCATGCAAGGCTGGGATTTTTTTCCCCACAAAGTTTTCTGTTGATTAAAAAAGAACTTCATACGCAGGGACTCTGAAGTGTTGTCAGTTTGAAAAATGAAGGTAAAACGAACTTAACTTTTGTGATACGAAACTGTTCAGCCAATAGTTGTCCTGTCCCGTCCACCTTGGGAGCTCAGATGCATCTGACTGGGGGAAATCCTTTTCTCTTTAGCACCACGCTTTTCCTTCTGTTTCTGCACTTTTTTTTTTTCTTTTCTGTTCTTTACCTAATCTCATATTCTGCTATCCACTTTCGTAGGAGCTCACAAATTAAGCAGGGCTAAAAAGGAGGAGGAGGAGGATGTTCTTGCACCAAATGTGGTGCCCCCACATTTCATCTCCAATTATAATCACAGATGAAACTTGTGCTTTTATACAACTGCCTTTTCCAATGAACTCACAGAAGGCAGAGGAGTCTGTCTTGACTCTTGAGAAGCTGCTGCTCCAGTTCTTCTGTTTCCAATCTTGACTACGCCATTGCTGTAGCAGTTTCCAGGCTTCATTAGACAATGTTTCTTTATTTACAGTAGAGAGTGTAACATAAAATGATACTAAAATGGATGGTGATGAAGTATGGAAATGATACCTGCATTAACCTCCTGAAACAGGGGCAAAGCAATGTGTGCTGGTCTAAAAACTACTCTAATTGCGCCAAGTATGATGAAATTGTGATTTCTCAGCAACGTGAATACTGCTGTAGGGCTGTTGATACCATTTATGATGGGAGACTTGTTTCTGAGGGTACAACAAGTGTTGTGCAGCCACAGTATCACTGCCATCAAATGATGCCAGAATCTTCTGGCATCATTTTACTCAAGTTCAAAATAAATGCAGTCATCTCTCCCCCTTTTTAAAAGTAACTTCAGAAAGCTGACATTAACATTTCCTGTTTATGATATTGATGGGAAACTGAGAACTTATTTGCATAATTACAAAACATTAAACATGACTAGAGACATCCAGATTTTACTACTATATCCATTTTTCCCTAGGTCTTAATGCAGAGAACGACATCTAACAGATTTCCCGTCAATCTGATTTTGACATTTGTGAATCCATGTTGTTCCAGTAAGCCTCGATATTCAGAGCCACTTCTCTCCTTTCCCTCTGTCTGCACAAGCATGTTCAAAGACTGCGCATCAAACATGACTAGAGACATCCAGATTTTACTACTATATCCATTTTTCCCTAGGTCTTAATGCAGAGAACGACATCTAACAGATTTCCCGTCAATCTGATTTTGACATTTGTGAATCCATGTTGTTCCAGTAAGCCTCGATATTCAGAGCCACTTCTCTCCTTTCCCTCTGTCTGCACAAGCATGTTCAAAGACTGCAGCAGAGCTGTGCTCCTGTTCTTCTTCTCATCATCCAATACCGTTTCAGCCAGCAAAATCCCACAGCCTAATTTAAAAACAAATGCATGCCAACAGTACTAATCCATTATCAGGCAAGAGAATTTCTGCTACCATACATAAGGGTGCAAACAAGACACAGGTGATTTCATTTATCATTTATGGCTTTGCTCTGCTATTAAATGACTAATCCACTATTAAATGCATAATCCACTCCTCTCACAAAACCCAGGAAATTCCCTTCCACGCTATGGAGGGATCAAACACTCGCAAGTCAAGTCACGTCTCCGTTTTCAGGGGAAGAGGGGATGACTTCTGTAGACTTGGCATAAAGGTTATGGAAAACAGTAAGACAGGAATAGTAGTTACATCTCTTTGGGATATATTGCTGCTTCACATTCATATTGAAACGGTGCCAAGCAGACAAAACGGTGGATGGCGAGCATTACAGAAGCAGAAAAGAAGTCAATGTTGTACATAATTTCTGTAGGAACTGAGGTCTTTGTGGCGGGACTGACCTAGGGACGCAAGCAGAACTTAAATGATCCTGTTTACACACAGTCTCCTCCTCCCATCTTCAGACCCGTGAGGGGAAAGGGAAGACAAGAGAGAGCCACTGGCAAAACGAGCATAGTTTTACTCATTGTCTTTTGGCCTTGCATCTTATGTGGTGGTTTCTCTTGGCACAGCGGGGGGGTAGGAGGCCACCAACTCAGATCAAAATAGCAGCACTTAGTAGTACTAAAATCACTGTAAAAGTGCTGCATAACATTCATATCTTTCTGACCCTTAAGACAATCTCCTCTGAGCCATTCCTACCCGTACACCTCAGACATTTAACAACTGATAAAAAGTAAATTAAACATAATACTGCAGTTTCTTAGAGAAGAGACTAAGATCTGCAGATGAAATTGCTGGCTGAGACCTCGGTGTTAACTATCAGGAGTCATGAAAGTCCTTCTGACAGCTTATTAATAAATTCCGTGTTTCTTCCCCGTATCATCAGCTACCTTACTAAATGCAAGTTCAAGCCACCTACCCTGTGATGAACCAATGACACAGGTTTGCTTCACAAAGAAAAAGGATTAGCCAAGCATGTCTGAGGTGAGCCTGAACCTACTTTATCTGTCCAGTGGGACTCTTCTGCCTTAATTCAGTCATCCGTAGGTTAGATAGCTGTATTTCAGCTAGCCCTCTTAAATATGCTCTATCCACTATGAAATGTATAATCACTTCTCTTAGGAAAAACAGGAAATTTCCTTTCACAGATAGGTGAGACAAATCATCCTCTGAAAATGCCTGTTTTTCTACTGATTGGAGAGCTCAAGGTGACTAGATGATTTGAATGCCTAATATTTAGGTATCTAAAGTTAGGGTGATGAAGCCCATTTGTTATGACTCAGTGGTTTCTATTCCACCCCCCCCCCCCCCCCCGCTTCCTCCCCTCTTTTCTACTTCTCCCTTGTGCAACAGAGAGACCTGGGAATCGCTGTTCCTGGTTACACAGCAAACGTTGCTAGGTAGAGTAATGCAAGACTATCATTTCTAAGTCACCATTATATTACAGCTTTGGAAGACAGTGTCCAAATTTTGGACACTTTGAAAGGAGGACACAAATAGAATGGTCATTATAATTTGCCATGGAAAGTTATTTGGGACATCCAGATAACATCAGGGTAATCTGGAAAAACATACCCAGAAAGCACAACCAATGTGGGAAGAACACCTTCAAAATTTAGACACAGTAAATTAATGCAGGGAAAAAGAAAAAAAATTCTCTACAGTTAATGAAGAGTTGCTAGTGTAATTGAAATTTCTTCATGAGAGGGACTGAAATAGAGTTAACTTTCAACCTTTTCAGGAAGCATACTTTGATGAGGAAACGTTGACCATGGTTTTATAGGAGATAAAAATTAATAGTCATAACAGTCTTTTCTGAATTAGAAAGTCATTTAATCCAGATTATCATTGTTTAGCAAGCACATAATTTCCAGTCAAAAGATTGGGGGGGAGGGGGAAGTAAAGTGCCAGCCCTCCAAAAACTTTTTTTAAAAACAAAATAAAAACCCACATTAAATACTTCCACTATCCAGGAGTCAGCTAACACAACCAAAACTGAATTGAGAGCTCACACAAAGGGGTTTAGCCATTAAATAGCTCTTCCTAAGCTCTTGTGCTGGGTGGCTCAGATGACGTCCTACCCTTCGCTTCTGTCCCATTACTGTTCCAGGCACAAGTACTGTTAACAGCTGTAACAAGGTCAAGAATTGATATAAAAATGATTGAGCCAGGACAGCCAACCAGGTTGTCTCTTCTTCCTTACAAACTTCTCTTTATCTTCCTCAAGGATTCTTACCTCAGTGTTCAGTGAGCAAGTGCTGAAGTTCTTGTTTGTATTATTCATCCATCGTTCTGTTAACCCCCCTGACTCCCCACCTCAAAAAATTGTTTTCTGTGCATCACATTTCCTCTAAACTGTTGCCAAGGCAGAATGTGGGTAAAAGATGCATCCTCAAGAAGGCATAGCTGAATGTCACTTCCCAAGGAGCAACACCAAACCTACAGGCTTTGTTGGCAGAAGTTCATTTGGATTTTAAAACCTAGCCCGCTCATTCTTCATGTCTTGAATAGTGAACAGGCCCAAATTTTCCTCAGTTATGCCTATTGCTTAGGAAGTCTTTTCAGTGTAACACCATTAAATCCACTCCTTTCTAACAGTCAGCAGAAGATACCAGCTTTCTCCAGAGCAACTGAAAAACTCAATTTGGACATTAATGAGAGAAGTCGAGTTTATCATTTCTCAGGTGACTGGGCTACATCAAATGATTATAGAAGAGCTTAGGCTGAAATGGACCACAGGAGATC